TGATATGAAAGAGTGGGAAGGGTCTGTGAGGCCCGGAGCAGGAGGTGTGTGGACCAGAGTGACTCCTTTGCTCATCCCGGCTTGCAGGTGGTGCCATGAGATGAGCATGGTATGGGAGGCGGGTGAGCTGTGTCCAAATCTTGACTGTGCCATTTTTAGCTGTGTGACCCTGGCCAGGTTGCTTCATCTCTCTGAACCTCAGTCTTCTCATCTGGTACTGCTTCTCGTGGAGGGGCGGGTGTTGCGTGGACAGATGGATGAGTAGGTGATGCAGTGCCGTGCCGGGAGGTCCTCACTGAACATCTCCCACCCCGACACCTCTTGGTGTCCCCAGATCTGCCGGCAGGCCCTGAAGTTCCTGACACAGATCCGGGCCCAGCCCCTCATCAACCTTCAGCTGGTGAACGCGTCTCTGTATGAGCATGTGGAACGGATGCACCTTATTGGGAGAAGCCGGGAGCAGCTGAAGCTTCTGGGGGACTACCTGGGCCTGTGCCGAAGCGGCGCCCTGAAGGAGCTAAGCAAAAGGTGAGTATTGTCTGTGTGTGTACTCATGCACACACACACACACACATACACACATGCATGGGGCCAGTGCCCAGGGCAAGGCTTCTACTTGGGAAAAATTCTTGGGCCAAGCAGCAATCTCCTTCTCAGGTGTTGGGAAGTTACTGCATCCTTTGGGGTTGGTTTTTGTTCCTATATTCATTCATTCGACAAATATTTATTGAGAACATACTAACTCCCAGCCCCATGGTGTGAGATTCAATATTGAGCAAAGGGGATGCAGGGAGATTCAGGTCCTACCCTCTGGAAGCTTCTCATCTGACAGGGAAGGCAGACGGGTAAGTCAGCAATTCCAACCAGGGAGTGAGGACCCAGGGGAGAGGTAGGATCTTCTGGAAGACATCTAACCCAGATGACAGGCGAGCATAGCAGAGAAGACTTCCTGGAGGAAATGACTTCAAAGATGAGACCTGAAAAATGAGTAGGAGTTAGAAGAGGAAGAGAAGGGAGGGTGAGTGTTCCAGTCAGAAGAAAGGGCCCGTGCTGCCGTGAACAAAGGCACCATCCACGGAAAGGATAGGGAGAAGTTTGGCTGGAGTGCAAAGGGAAGTGGGGCGTGGTGAGAGGCCGGATGACGAGGCCGAGCTCTGGAGGACAGACTCAGCCAGAGGCGCTGGTGCCCCCTGCCCGCCATGTCGCCTTTGCTAGGGACATGAAGCAGCTTGTGAGCCCTCCAGGCTCCCCCTTCTGTGTCCCCACCTCACAGGCTGGCACAGAGCACCTGTCTGAGGTGCCTGCTCCGTCCTGGCTGCAGTACCCCAGAGCCACGCCTGCATGCCCCCAGCACCAAAGCATGCCCAGTACAGGTCTCGGGGCTCTCTGGGAGAGCTACAGGAAGTGCTCTTCTAGGAAGAGGGGAGGGGTTGGCCACTGGTAGGCCCCGCAGGGAACCGGCTGAGGCTTGGTCTCATCTGCAGTGCCTAGGAGAACAGACAGCTCTCTGGGGGCCACCTTGAGGGACCCCAGAAAGCGTCTGCCCTGGGAGGCTCTGCCCACCCTGATCACCAGCTGGGTGCCTTGGTCTTCACTTCTCATGGTTCTGGTTCACTCCCATCCTTTCTGGAATTCCATGGCCTGAGGCTCCAGAGTCTGTCTTCCTGCCCCTCTCCAGGGTGGTGAAATCACTGGGCTCAGGCAGGGCCTCATCACCCTCCCTGGCACCTGCAGAGACCTGCAGACCTGTGTAGACCAGGTGCCTTCAGGGGAGGTTCTGGGCATCGGTCCCACTCACCTGCCCTGCCTGCCGAGTATGCATGGGTCTCACTGGCCAGTCTCTGAGCCTGCCCATGCCAGGTGCCAGGGCAGCTGCTCTGCAGCCTGCAGTGCCCCTGGCCAGCTCAAGGCAGGGCCATGCTTGCGGAAGATGAGAAGGGGCCTGTCACACACATGCTGGGCAGCCCCCTTTCTGTGAAGCTGTTTGCCTCTCCATTTTGGAAGCAGTACAAGGCCAGGGACAGAACCTGGCAGCAGTCCCTGCCTAGCCCAGAACCACCACAACTCGGAGTTGCTTCACATCTCTGAGCCCTTCCTTCCCCATCTGTAAAGTGGGCCAGCACTCCCTGTGTTCATGTGGCCTTCCTGAGTGTGGTGAGGGCCAAGATGGGCAGACAGGGAGCCTTGGGCCTGCATGATGTGTGCCCTGAGGGAGGACACCCGACTCAGCCATGGTAGAAGCCACGGGGTCAGAGGAGCTCCTGGAGATGGCATCTGAGCTGCAGGTTTGTAGAATTCTTTTCTTTTTCTTTCTTTCTTTTATTATTTTTTTTCCCCAGTTTTTGTTGCAGGTACAGGGCATGTGTGCTCACTGGAAAGAGAGAGAGGGAAAGTGAGAGAGTACCTCCCGGGGGGATGGCCACACTGCAGCCCTTTCTCCTCCTCGCTCCTCTTGAGATTCTGGGCATGCATGCACATACACCTGGCATGTTTTTTCAATCTGCCAGTTCCAGAATTCAGGCCATGCACTTAGCCATGTGAGATGCAGCTATCTCAACCACCACACCTCCTGCTGCTCCAAAAACTATCTTACTTTAAAAAAAAATTTTTTTTAAAGAGGGCCAACTAAGTCAGCCAGAGTGGAGGCTGAGAGGAAGAGAAGGGCTGTAAAGGCACAGGCTGGTTGCGTGTGGAAGTGAGGTCAGGGAGAGCCCCCCCTTAGCTAGCAGCAGCAGCCTGGTGGGTCCCCCGAGAGAAAAGGACCCTTCAGGAAGCCTGGAGCATGTCTGCAAGGGCCAGAAGAGCCCTCCAAAACCTCCCCTGGCATTTGGGAAGGACCCGTTGCAGAAAAGCCCAGTGGGGTATTGCCCCCTGAACCTCAGGCATTCCTCCTGACCGCGGGGAGGGCTAGGCAGAGGAGGGGCCCAGCTTGGGGAGACAGGGCCCCTCCCACTCGGTCACTTTGTTGGTGACAGGCATGGAGATGCAGCCCTCTGTCTTCCACTTCCTCCCAGTGAGCCCTAAAGATTCCCCTGGTCCCTTCCCCAGGCAAACAGACTCACAGAGAAGGGCCTGCCTATCATATGTGTGAGAAGCTGGTGAGCCCAGAGCAAGACCTGGGTGTGTCCTAGTCACACAGATTTCTCCCCGGAGGCCAGGGTGTAGAGTGGCCTGTCCCCCCTCTGACCTTGACTGAGTGCAGTAGAGGAACCAGCTGCAAGGCCTTGCTGAGAGTGGGACAGGCCAGGGGGACCCTGGCTCACACGGAAGAAGGCCCTGGCATGGGTACTTCCTGGGCCTGTAGGACTGGACAGGGCAGACCACGTTCCATCCAAATAGCCCCACCCTTCCTGCCCTTCAGGCCATCTGTGTGCCCCCCCACAGCCCCTGTGTTTTCCTGGTGATAAACGGCAGCTTCCTGTTTCCAGAAAGCTGGACATTGCCTGGAAAACGAGCATGGTAAACGGAGTGGCCGCCCGGCATTCCCCTCACCCTGCATGGCACAGCGTGGCCTGCCTGTGTTTAGTAGGACCTGCCTCCCACCCCAGCTCGGGCTCCACCAGACCACAACTGAGGGTATCAGGTGGGATGTGGCCAAACCACCCTTCCAGATGCCCCTGGGCCTGGCTCTGTCCCACAGCCAGATGTCCGGGGCTTCCCAGGCAGGTTTCAAGCTTCCTCTGACTTGGAGTATTGTCCTCACCCCCCCACCCCGCATCTCACCCCCAACACACACACACACACACACACACACACACACGGCCAGGCAGGTTTTTGCACCGGGGAATTTTCTGCAGGTGTTTCCTTTCCATCCTCAGGATATGACCCCTGGGATCACTGCCATTGATGTGTGGAAACTAGAGCGGGCCCATGTGAGCCTATGTCCCAGCCACCTCTGAAATGGAATCTGCTGCATTTGGGACTCCTCTCGATTTCTCGCACGTAGAGCTGAAACCACAGACTTGAACGTCCCTCCCTTGGCTAGACCATGGCTAGACCAGAGGCCATGGCCTGTGCCCTTCTGTCCCCAGCACTGGCCCTGCTCTGTAAGGGTGGCAGTGATTACAGTAGCCAACAGGCTCTGGAGTCAGACTCCTGTGTTCAGTGTCCTGAGCTCTGCCACTTACTGGCTGTGTGGCCGCAAACAAGTTATTTATCCTCCCTGTGTTTCCTTCTCTTCTCAAAATGGGGATTATAATAGTACAGGCTCACAGGATTATTGTGAGGATCAAATGAATGAGCACATACAGAGTCTGAGCCGGTTCCTGGTATCCGGCGTCAGGGTTCATCACCACTCACTTCGTCGCCATGCGGCACCGTGCGGAACATTGTCAGTAAACGATTTAATCCTCAGAATGACTCTGTTTCTCAGGGGAGGAAACTTGAGCTTCCGAGAGGTTCAGTAACTCGCCCAAGGTCCCACAGCTGGTTAATTACCTGGAAGACCAGTTCCCAGGCAGCCCGGGCAGGCTGACTTACGCTCGGTCACTGCCCCACCCAGGCGGAAGGCATTCATGCCTGGTTAGCCGTGCTGAGGGAATGCAGACAGACAGCACTGCCGGCCTGGTCTTGAACCCCTTCTAAGGACTCTCTGTGTTTTCTTGGAAGGCTCAACCACAGGAATTATCTCTTGGAGGCTCCCCACAAGTTCAGTGTTGCAGATCTCCAGCAGGTGAGAATGTCATGCCCTGTCCCCAGACCTCAGAAGAGGGACTTCATTCCCAGAGAGATCAGAAAGGGAGACTGCGGAGGAGCTAGGGCGGTAATCCCCAGCTTTTCCATACCTCGAGCTCCCTGGACAGTGACTGGGCTCTGCAGACCCCGGGGGCGAGGGCTTAGGGATACTCTTTTCCTCAAGGGGAGTACAGTGGGTTGGGATCTTGCCTGGAAATGCCGTAACCCCCATGACTCCGGTGCCCCAGGGCTGGACTCCATGTGGCTCAGCGTGACCCATGTGGGAGCTTGGGGTAGGGGCTCTCCCAGCAGGGCATCTAAAGGGCTGGCGGCCTGCCCCTGCCCTCCACAGATTGCAGAGGGGGTATACGAAGGGTTCCTCAAGGCCCTCATCGAGTTCGCATCCCAGCACGTCTACCACTGCGACCTGTGCACCCAGCGCGGCTTCATCTGCCAGATCTGCCAGCACCGCGACATCATCTTCCCCTTCGAGTTTGACACCACCGTCAGGTACGCGGGACCCCAGGGCTCGGGCCGCAGGCCGAGGTTTACTGTGAGGGACATTCTCCGGGTCTTCCAGAGGTTCACGGAAAGTACATAGGATGATGAAACTGTGGGTGGATTTTGATTTTTTTTTTTTTTTGCACCAAAAATAAACTCATACTTTAATTCCATTTCTTACAAACTGTTTGAAGTCCTCTCCTATCACACGTCCCTTTGGTGCCAGAGCCAAGGGTGGTCAAGTTGTGCAGAGTGTCCCATGCCCAGAGCAATCAGGCCAGGTCCGCTCCAGCTCAGGGAATAGGTGAGCCCTCACAGCATCTTCCTGCGCTGCCAGCTGTCGGCCTTCCTGGCTCCCTGTGGGGCCTCCCTGTCTTGTTGCCTGTGAGTGGGCAGAGGGGAGACTGGATGGGTTGCTGCCCCTAAGTGTCAGCACAGGGCCTGGCACAAAGTGGACACCCAGAGGATGACCTGTCCCTGCCTCTGCTGCTGCAGTGACCCTTCCATCCCAGTCATTGTCCCTCTAAGTGGGAAAGTTCACCCACACCTTCCTCAGCTCACGTGGGAGCAGAAAGCTGAACTAGTGGGAGTGTTCATTCATTTTCAGGCCTGGAGTCAGCACCAAATGGGCCTCAGGCTAAGGTTTGAACTGTAGGGTATTTTAGACTGAGACCAGAGATCACTTAGTGACTATCAAGGAGCATTTACAAAAAATGAAGTATGTGGGCCAGACAGTGGTGTGGTGGTGAATGTACTAGATCCCACATGACTGGCTATATGGTTCAAGTCCCAGACCCACCGGTTTGAAAATCTCTTTGAAAAGAGAATGGAGGAGGGACCAGCAGTTAGCACAATAGCTATGTCACTGGACTCCCATGTAGTCTACCGTGGTTCAAGTCCCGGACCTGGCGGCTTAAAACTCATGCCAGGCGTGTGTGCGTGTGTGCCCAAGATCCCAAGAGAAGAATGGAGCAGAAGGGATTGCAGTGTGGCCATCCTCCCTGGGGGGGTGATTTCTTGCTTTCTGTCTCTCTGTCTCTCTCTGTCTGTCTTTCTGGCTAGCACATGTGCCCTATAGCACAAATCTCTCCAAAAAAAACTTGAAGGAGGGAGGGAGGGAAGGAAGGAAGGAAGGAAGGAAGGAAGGAAGGAAGGAAAGAAAGAAGGGAGGGAGGGAAGGACAGCGTGTATCAGCATGCATTGCATAGCTTATGCCAAGCGGGGCTTAGTTAGGGCTGGAGAAGTCCTGTGTGCCTGGCGGCTCGTGGAGCCAAACACTGCCTTACGCAGGTGCTGGTCAGAGGATGGCCAGTCCGGCCACGGGGCAGCCTCCAGCCCAACTGGCACGACAGCACATGCCGCTCTCTCCCCAGGTGTGCCGAGTGCAAGACCGTCCTCCACCGGAGCTGCCAGGCTGTGGCGAAGAAGGGCTGCCCCCGCTGTGCCCGCCGGCGCAAGTACCAGGAACAGAACGTTCTCACCTAAGCCCCATCACCCGACTGCTTCCTGAGGCTGTGCAGCTGGCCAGCTGGGTTCGCCATCAGCCGGGCTACTCTCTCTCCGGGTCTCGCCTTGTCAGGAAGACCCTCAGATGTGACCCGCACTGCCTCCAAGAAAACCTAGCAAGCCCAGATGACGACTGTGAGCTCCCGCCTCCCTCTGCTCCAGGAGGTGGGGCCCACCATGCCCCTAGTCGGGGCAGGAGGGGCCTTTCAGAAACCGAGCCCAGGCTACTTCACCGTCGAGGCTGTCCACTAGGGCTGTTTGAACACTGTGGAAATAAGATTTGGCACCTTTCCACATTCCTGATTTAAAGGTCTAGTTTTTTAAGGTGGGTTTCCCCCTTCATATTTCAACAGAAAATATTTTTTTATTCTGGATTCTACACAAGTCACCTAAGAAATCCAGGCCTTCCCACCCTGAACAGGTATACAAGAGCCACCCAGGCCCAGCCTGAGAGCAGGCCGGTGGTTGAGCAGGCGGGCCACCGTGGGGTTGGGCTGGTGGGGTGGCCTCGGTGCCTTTCCTTCACCCTTACCAGCGCCCACCGCTGACAGCTCGAGCACCATGTGCCAAACCGCCGGCTGGCAGGGCAGCTCAGTCCTGATGGCCACTCTCTTCCTCTCCTGTCTCTTCATTCCCTGGCCCGTGCCCATCGGCTGAAGCCTGTCCCCTTTCTTGGTGTCACAGCCCCTCCTGACCCCAGCTCTTCTCCGGCCTGGAGTCCTGGACTCAGCCCGAGAAGGGAAGTGACTCAGAACCAGCACTGTCAGCACTTTGAGCCTCCCTTGTTCAGGGAAGGGTCGTTGTCTTTGTCCCCCCCACCCCACCGTCCCCATGCCCTCCTCACTCCTACACACACAGGCAGGGGTCTGTTGCAGATGCTCCAGGCCCACCTCAGGGGGGCTCTTGGGGTCACCCCATTGCCTGACCCCTGCCTGGGCAGAGATAGGCTGGACCCCAGAAAGGGCAGGTGTGTGGAATGGTTGCCATGGCTGCCGGGCCCTGCACCGTGGAGAAGTGACCCACCCTTCCACTGCTAAGGGGTGCAGGGACGTGCACCTGTGGAAGCAGCCTCAGCCTCCCTCTCTCAAAGCCATCCATCCCCAAAGCTCCACTGGGCCTGCCTAGCCAGGGCACTGCCCGAGGCCAGAAGACTTCCTTGGAGCAATCTGTCTTCAGAAGGGGGCCTTGGGGTTGGGGGGGAGGCCTACAACTGTCTTCTAAGTGATGTTCACACCTCAGGTTTGGGGAAAATGTGGGTGTAGTTTCTCAGCTGCCTTCCCCACAGACCCAAGAGGCCCCTCAGGCCAGGGATCCTCCATCCATCCTCCCTGCACTTGGCTTGGAGTCAAGACCCCTAGGGGCCCCACTGTCAAGGGAGGAATCGGCTACTCCTGTCCCGCGCGGTGACTCAGCCACCGAGTTACCCACCCGGCCCTGCAGAGCTGGGAGGGTTGTGCAATAGAGTGGAGGGGCTGTAGCTTCTCTGTCTCCTTCATGGAAGGTAGTGTGCACCTATGCCCAGATGCCGGGGCCTCCTCAGCTGGGAAGTGGGCCCCTACCCCACCTTACCCACAGCCAGCATTAACATTCCACACACCAGTCAGAGCCAGCATTGCCCAGATACTCGAGTGGGCAGGAGCCTGGCCTGGGGTGGGCCTGGGCCGGCGATTGCTTGCCAGGAGGTGCCCAAAGAGGTGGCAGGAGGGAGGCCTTGGTTAGCAGGCCACCCCTGCCCCCGGGTTATTACCATTAGAGCTGGCCCTCTCCTCATTACCAAAAAGCTGCTAATGCTTTCAGATACTGACCCCCTCCCCTCACCCCCAGTGGAACCTCAGTAGTGCCCACACTATTTTTTAAATGTTATTTTATGCAATAAATGGTTTCTAGCAGGCCAAGTCCTGGCCCTGAGAAGTGCTTTGCTATATATTGAAGGAACTGCTGCTGTGTGATTTTTGAATGGTTTTGCAGTAAAGACCTGGTCTTTCTAATCACTGGCCTGATTTCTGAATCTACTTCTGCCGCTGCCCAGGGAGGCCCCTGGCCCTCCCTTACCATCCGACTGAGCTCCCTACCCTCCCGGGGGTCTGTCCCTGGGCCAGGGGAGTCTGGAGGGAGTTGGGAGAAGAGGGCAAGTGACTGTTCTTTCCATACCCACCCTGCCACCCCAGAATCAGGGTGCCCTGTGGGGTGGGTGCAGGGATGTCGGGGAGGTTTGCTCACACGCATTCGTGTCTAACAGCCGAAGCTAGTGTCTGAGATGCACCACGGCTCCTTTCCTGGGCCCAGATGTCTCGACAGTGAATTCACCTGACAGTGAATCTGTGAAACCTCGCAAATACAGGAGAACTTTCTCACAGGAGAAAGGAGAGAAGGGGCAGGAAAGACAGGCGATTTGAGCAGGGCCTCCGACTCAGGGCTCATGATTCCAGGGCTCACGAGTGCCAGGAGAAGCCCCGAGGTCCCTGCAGGGGAAGCCGGCATGTCCATTGTAAAAACTGAGGAAAGAAACACTATTTCAGGAAGTTGGGTTGCCGGAAAATGGGATGAAAAAAGGCATTAGGGTCTGCATTTCCCATCCTTGGAGAGCCCTCTTGGCCTACGAGGGGGGCCCTCTGCCCATCTGGGAGCCTCCACTTCCCTCAAGGGCCATACCTCCCTCCAGGGGAGTAGGCGGTAGACCCAGAAAAGAGAGGTCCTAAGTTTGAGGGCCGAGGGCAGGTAAGCCTAGTGGAGGGCCAGGGACTGCCCTGCCTTTCGACATAGACCCCATCCTCAGCAAAGGGCTCAGAGATAGCACAGTGGTATGCATGTGGTCCCAGCTACTTGGGAGGCTGAGACAAGGATCGCAGGTTCTAACCCAGCCTGAGCAACACAAGGAGACTCCTATCAAAAAAGAAAAAGATCAAAAAAGAAAAAGAAAGAAAAAGAAAAGGCGCAAGAAAAAGAAAAAGAAAGAAAAAGAAAAGGCACTTTTGGGCTAGATAGTAGACCCACATAGAAAAGGTCTAGATTTGTGTTCAGAGACCTCCCTGCCCCTGCTGGGCCCCCATATGATCCAGGGATGGCCGAGCCTGGGGTGGATCACTGCCCAAAGAGCCTGTTGGGGGTGTTTCTCTTTCTCACTCATGGAAGAAATAAATGAATGTAAAAAAACAAGTGCCTCCAATGGCACTTGGTTCCCCCTTCTCTCTGCCGCAAGGAGGATGGGAAGTTTGGAGCACCCCAGCCACCCCCGGAGAGTGAGTCTGGTGATGAAAGGAGAAGCAATCACTAACATGTGGTGCATACTCATTGTGCTTAGTGCGTCTCACTTAATGTTCCCCGTGAGCCTGTGAGGCTGGTTTTCCTGGGCCGTTTATAGGAGAGAAAGCAGATGCAGTGATGCAGCAAAACTCCCAACGTCTAAAGGCCTGCAAGTGGCAGAGGTGGGTGAGCCCAAACCCCCCCCCTGCCACTGCCATCCTGCCAACCTTGCTGGGTAACTCTGGGGCAGGCAGGGAGGGACCTAGGAGCTGGGGGTGAGGAGTGGATCCTTTTTTTTTTCAGAGGTTTTTGCTATAGGGTGCGTGCGCTTGCTAGAAAGACAGACAGAAAGACAGAAAGCGAGAAATCACCCTCCAGGGTTGATGGCCAGGCCATAATCCCTTCTCCTTCATTCTCTCGGAATCTTGGGCACACAAGCACACGCTCCCGTGAGTTTAAGCCACTGGTCAACTACATGGGCATCCAGCAACATAGCCATTCTGCCAACTGCTGGTCCCAAGGAATGGAATCTTTAGCACAACCTCCTAAGCCCTCCTGCATCAGGGACTAGAATGCCTGCCCCAGGGGATGCCAGGATGCCAACGGGTCTCAGACACACTGAGGGACAAAGGTACAGAGGTAAGGGGAGTCAGGAAAGCGTGTGGCCGGACTCAGTTCTCGACCAAACCCTCAGCCCTCCTGAGGGGTGTCTGGAGGGGACCTGGCCTGGGGTGGGTCCACCCTCCCTCCCAGAACAGGCCTCCCAGAAGCAGCCAGCTCTGGGCCCTGGACCTGCTTGCTCACACACCACTGTTCTTGAGAGGGGGCCTCCACTGGGGCTGGGGCTCCTCTGGAGTAGGTGCAAGGTCAGGGTTGCCGGTGGGCCTGCTTTCCTGAGAGGCAGGAGAGTCCCAAAGACAAGACTCCCAAGGGGAAGGGCCCTGGGGCAGGATACAAGATCGCGGCTTCCTGGAGGTTGCTCCCAGTTTACCTGCGACAGACTGGAGGGCTGCCCTCCCACACAAGGAATCTGGCTAGGGCGTTGATGGGGAGGCTCCCGCCCCCCTCGTCCCACCACCCTGGCCTGATGCCTCCACTCTCTGGGGAACCAGGTGTGGCCCAGGATCCCCGGAGGTGCAGGGGGGAAGGAGGTGGCGTCTCAGCTCCTGGGGCTCTGGCCCGGCCCAGAGGGGACAGGAAGCCAGGACACCGGGGATTGTCTCTCTCAACCGCAGCCCAGCCCCAGCCGGGAGGAAGTTCTGCCGGCCGCTCTCCGCCGGGGCATACCTCGCGACATTG